CTTGCCTCCTGGACATGAACAGACACAGGCACTACAAACTCTAATGTTCTGCAGGGGTCAATCCCAGGACTATTTAATATTTTCACTAATGATTTGGATGACAGAATAGAGAGTATGCTTATTAAATAGGCAGATGATCCCCAATGGAAGTCACCAGAGGCCTCTGTCAGAGCCAGGCAAAGTCCTCAAATCAGCTCAAGAGAAGGCTACTGTTTTCTAACAATGGGAATAACCTGAATAGGGCTTTGTCAGTCACTAAACTAACAATGAGCCCCACCTGCACAGAACTGGTGCTGTATATCCAGGGTTGCATCAGGAAAAGGAGAGGTCATTGGTTCAAGAACCCCTGAAATTGGTGGCAAGAGCCATCAAACTTATTTGGCAACTGAACCTTTGGTTTGTGAAGACCTGATACTGAGGCTTGGAAACTGGAAGTGATGGTGTGGGCACCACAAGCAACTAGTCCTTGTGATAGACTCATCTGGGCCTGCAAAGCTGTGGTCTGTCCCTGAAGAACACTCATCTGGGCTGAGGGTTTCATACAGACTGGCCAGTAAGTGCTTGGTCATGTGGGATCTACTGCAAGGTCTTAGCTCTGTTTTCCCCTGTGGCTGTTCAAATTCTGATGACCAAACCATTGGCAATCCAGTGGATGAATGGTTAGAGCAAGCATTTGAGTCAGAGCTGGAAGACAGACCAGAGACAAAGGCTGAGCCAGGGGGACAAGTTCTGGTGCATCCAAACCAGAGACCAAGCTGAGAGCCAAGATCCAAATTCAACATCAAGACAGCATCAAAGACCAAGGGGCATGCAAGATTGTAGGGGCAGCTGGTCAGGAACAGAACAGGGACAAGGAACAAGGTTGGGACACAGACCAAAGCAGGGACTGAAGAGAAGGTTAAGACAGAATTGAGAGCAGAAACTGGGGGTGTTTTTACATCTGCTCCAGGGCAGGGGGGCTGGGGGACGCTTTAATTAGAGCAGCACAAAGTGCCACTCTAATTGAAGCACCTGCAGCAACTCATGTATGACCAGCTCCATGCTTCAAAATGGCGTTGGGGAGCTTGATCAGCGAGCTCTCATTAAAGCGCCCCCACCACCATTTTGAAGTACACAAGACATGGAGGCTGCCAGAGTGCGCTAATTAGCATGCTCCAGTAGACTCGATTAATTGAGTCTGCTCTGACAGGCTGTAATTACAGCCTGTCAGAGCAACCTCCCCACACATCTACAGGCACTCCCATGGAGGCTTAGATGAAGCAGAAACAATGGCTGGAGCTGGGAAACCAGGGCTTGAAGGCAGAGAGGATCTAGGTAGAACTGCAGGCTATTGGTTGCCCCTTCTCCAATCATGCTGGCTCTGTCAACCTATCAGGTTGGGAAGTGGAGTCAATCACCCAGCTGTGGCTCAAACTCTGTCCTGTCCCCCCCCACCATATCCTCTCCCCCTGTAGCCAGTGCCCAAGTCCACTACAAGGAGATGAAGAAGATTACCATTAGAAACTGAAACATGAAGAGATATTAACTAGGCTTAATGTTGGTCTGGCTGCTATGGTTAATTCCCTTTATGGTTACTTCAGAACATCATCAGTGACAAGGATAAGATTCATATGAAAGAAAGCCAGATGTTAATGCTAGAAGGAATAAACATCTGGGTTTGACCTCATCAACTACTAAATGACACCTACAACCTACAGAATAGTCAGATGGTATAAAAGCTATTTAAATTGATCCATAAGCAGATATTTGTCTTCCAAAGCTGCATTTATAGCAGTTCACGGTGTCTCACTCATGATCAGAGGTAACACGTGATGGTACAGGACAATGCTAATTACATGTGTAGCAAAGTAATACTGACATTCCAGTGGGCTCCTTGTCATAACTCATTCCTTCTCCACCTCTTGGATGTGTTATTTGCAGAGGCGTAACTAGGAATGTTGGCGTCCTGTGTGCAAGGGGTGCTGGGAACTGGAGAGCAGGGGAGCATGTTTTACTTTCCTGCATATGGGCTGTTGTCACTGCTGCCACAGCACAGACTGTTGCTGCCACACCCTGAGCTCCTCAGTCACAGATGTGGGCTGTTGCACTGCAGTGTGGCCTCGTCAGGGGCCACCACTCTGGCACCTGGGGCTGCTGCCCACTTGCCTACCCCTAGTTATGCTACTGCTTATGTAAGTAAAAAGAGAAAATAGCCCTTTCTAACCTAGACTATCAGAGGAACCAGAAAGGCAGCATCCATTCAATTGCCAGCACGTGTAGTTTCAAACTACTATTGTCCTCATGGTGTCATTCTTTGTCACAATGCAGAATGCAAACCAACTTGAACGCGTGAAACCTATACAGAGCTCTCCGCACTTTACAAGGCTGGAAGATTTGTGGAGTACATTCTCTGACCTCCCCTAAGAGCTACCTTTCGGACAGCCCAAATTCACTCCTTCTGCCCAAGCCTTTGGAAAGAAGGAAACAGACCTCGACTTCAGGGTGGTCTGGGGTGCAGGTGGTCTCGTTGGGATTGTTCTCTTTTTGCTCATCTTGCACTCTAAGTCTCTAACAGTATTTTCAGGACATGCTGATGCAGCCATGGTTCATTGCCATGGAGACAAGAAGCTCTGCTTCTCTTCAAGCCCAAGCTAATGGTTTGAATTAAACTCTCATTTCCTCTGGGGCAAGTAAAACAGTTACAATACTGTTGCCCACATGTACAGTCTATGAACACGTTCGCCCAACAGCCACACCCTATAGTCACACACCCAGCACAGCCATGCCCCAAAAACATTACACTTGCTCTGTAGCCACTCTCACTATTCTCTCACACAATGCAGACACATGTACCACAGCTGCATCATGCACATACTCACTATCTCTCTCTGTCACACACACACACGTCATAGCCATGCTCTACATCCTACTCTCCATAACCAACAGGCAAGCATGCTCTATGACTCCCACACACTTTACTTCTATGCTCTGTAAACCTTGTATGTACGACTCACAAACACGCTCCCCAAGTAGAGCCAAATGAATAAATGACAGGGTCTTACTGTATGTCATCTGGTCTGTGCCAGCTGCCTGTGTACCCATTCTTACCCTGTGGTAAGTAAAAATTAAACCACAGTAGTTTAGGGTAAAATACTGGGTTTAACCTCTGCTCACTACAGGGCCAGAACATGCATATAAGCAGTTACCACAGAGCAGCTAAGTCATAGTAAATCCCCTCTCCCATTAATACAGCATATTTTTCACTTGTTCATATACACTCCCTGTGTCCACTCCCTATACCTTAAAACATCCACCCCATATATGAGCCCCAAACTATACACCATGACATGTCCTCTACCACCTCTGTTCCCCGAGGAACCTCAATATCCAAAAGATTTTCATGCGTAGCTTTTGGCATTAAGATGCAGGCTATCTAAAACACGGACTTCAGCCCCTTTCTGCACTTGCTCCTCTGCTCCACAGCATGCTGGTCACTCACAGGGCAATCATGTAGGATACATGTGAGTAGGGACCATTACAATTCAGCCTCCTGCTATCTCTGCTCCATACCCAGACACTTTCCACTGTAGGATGTACCTACACACCAGCTGTTCCCAGCTGCTTCAGTTTCACAGTCTCCTCAAAAAGCTAATGAGGCATCTATCACTACTGTACTGTGAGTTCTCTGCGCCCCTGGCTTTAGTAGAGTCTTCAGCATTGCAGCTGGATCAAACCAGCCACTAAAAAAGCCCTGCTTTTTTTACTGTGCTTCCCAGCTGTGTTTTACCAGCTCTCCAGGTCCAGATGGGAAAATGAAAAGCTGGGGTGGGGAGGGGAGGAAGAGGGAGATGGGAGGCAGGCATCTTCTCAACAAGTCAAAGGAGCAAAGGATGTGCTGCATATGAGTATGTTGGAGAGAAAGCACTAATTTTGCTACAAATCACTAAACTGGAGGAGCTCTGTCTAGCAATTCTGAGCAATGACCCTTCATTCTCCTAGCACTTATGTGGCAACCATGTTTTGGCCAACACATGGAGAATTGAACTGGGAACCGCCAAGGCTTAAATGAAGGACCCATGACTCAGTAGCTGGGGGCTGTAAGAATTCATTTCTGTGAGTTGGCAGAGTGGAATTTATGAAACATCCTTCACCAGTGGGTCACAGTGCCTTGAAATGTCTTCATAACCCAACACAAAACATCACACAGCATTGGCTAGAAGGATGATAAATGAGGGAGCTCAAGGGTAAAGCCTCCTAAATTCTGACCTCATTGCTTAGCACAGTGTAGCTGATTCAGAAAGACTGGAACTGGTCTGAGCTTTAATATCATACCAAAAGCATAGAGATGATGGGACACAACCCAGAACCCTCCAGCAAGACGCATAGCCTTCTAGATGCTAGAACTCATCAGCAATGCATAGGGGGCACACGGGGGGGGGGGGGGGGGGCACACGAGAAGTGCCGGTGGCACTTCCGGTTTTGCCACCAGCACTTCCAGTGTCAGCGATCAGCCACTGGGGGACTCTCCTGGTCAGAGGCACCAGTCATCCATGCTGGAACTCAAATAGCAAATGCTGCTCAACACTCTGATGACTGCTGCATCAGCAAAAAAACTCCCTGTCCAGCACAACAGGGTGTCAGGTCCACAAATACAGCACTAGGCTCAGGCAGCAGGAGCAGTAATGTGATCAAATCAAAGGGCTGGGAAGTGTCAGGAGAACCGAGACATGTGAGTCTCACTAATATAGCTGCATCAAGGTGGCCCTCCATACTCCAACAGCAGTGGCAGAACTGAGTAGGAAGCCTCATAGGGCATGATGGAGGAGATAGCTGCAAGTGAGATCAAAGCTATTGCAGCCCAAGCCTCATTCAGGTTAACCCACTACAGAGAAGGCTGTAGAAGGTCTTGCTATGAGGATGTACCCACGTGCCACAAGCCTAATCCAAGGGCCACCAGCAGTCAAGCAGGGATTTAGGAGGATTAATGGAAACCCAAAAGAACTGGAAAATGTCTTGCTTACCCAGAAAGCACTCCCAAGACAAGGTTGAGAACAAAGAAGGATCCGATGATGATGAGGGGGATGAAGTACAGCCAGTTCCAGGTGGCTCCTAAGGCATCATTGGTCTGAAAGAGAGAAAAAGAGTTACCTTATATTCGACCTGTGTGTGACCACAAGGGGCTCAGGTTGGCAAATCCCCTGCAATTTCATAGCCTCGAGGACTGCTGCAGGATTCTTCACTTTGCACAAGTGCAATAACACTCTGTTCTTTCTTTTCCTTTTATTTTTGCTACATAGTTCATTCAATTTGCTATTTCATACCCATCACTGGTCAGGCAGAGAGCTTTTTGCCCAGGTTCCTCTCTGCCTATCATGTTCTGTACTCTTCCCATGACAGATAAGTCAAAAGTACATGCTCTCCTGTACTGCATCTTGAAGCCAGAGAGGGAGAACTAGCTTAGCATCAGCTTGGGCAGAGGCAACTACATACACAGACCTGTCCAGATCTGACCGCTATGCCCCAAAGAGGACCCACTTGTCAGTCTTTCCTTAATAAAGTGTAGTTTGGAGCTGTCATGCTATCACTACATCACAGATATAGGTAGAGGCTGGGGATTCAGTGGTATCTGCAGAGGTGTAGCTAGAGCAAGGCCTAAGGGGAAGAAATAAGACCAGGGAGGTAGCTGCCTGACTTAGCTAGCCTTATTTCCCCAGGGGAAATTCAGCAGTGACCTGGGCCAAGAATGAGGGTGGCATGGGGTCAAAGCTGGGCCAGAATAAGGAAAAGATTGAGAAGAAACCTGGAGCTAAATCTAAGGAGCTGGAAAAGTAAAAACTGGTAGGTTGGCTACTGAGCTGGGCTGGGGTCAGAGGGAAGGAGCTGGTGGCTGTGAATGAGGGGGAGCGGTAGAGAACCTAGGAGACCTGGCCCTCAAGTACATGGCTCCTTGGACATTGTTCCACACTGATGAAGCTCAGGCAAAATAACTGGAACACATTGGCAGCCTACATGCTGGGGTGACATGGTGGTGCCACCACCCCCTGGAATTCAGCAGCAGGGGAAAGGAGGGGAAGAACGGCCAACAGTGATGTAACCCCCACTTTCACACAGCTATTAAGGCTCCACACTGCAGCTAGTCATCCTGTCTCCTTCTCTCCCTGCTGCAAAGTTTGGAGGGACAGGGGGGAAGAGCAAAGGGCAGCAGGCTCTAGAAGCAGGAACTCTGGGCAGACCCCACATCAGTGAGATCAGAGATCACATGCAGAGCTCGCAGCTGGAACTGCCAAGGGTCTCACCAGCATCCAGCATCACAATGAGGTGCTACGACCACATCCCCTTCAGTTGTGTAGCACATGTGCAATGAGACCCATCCCTGAAGAGCATGTGGCTACACCCCCATTGCTGCAATCCTGAATCCACCCATGCCTGTGCGTCCACAGCTCCTGACACAGAACCTAGGGGGACAGGACCCCATGCCTGAAATGGTATCAAAGTGCTCAGTGGGTGGGTAACATGGGTGAAACCAAGGTCAGCCTGCAAACTGCACACAATCAGAGTCTCCACTGTGGGGCTGTTTTTCCACTCCACCACCTCAAACCTCTCTCTACCACAGCAGCAGCCTCAGAGAGCACTTGGCTCAGCCAGTCACCACAGGGGAACTAATTCACTCCTGGCTTCGTACCACAGTAACACTTCTCAGTTAGACCAGACTCCTCTGTCCAGCCCAGGATTTGAAGAGGCAAGCCCAAGCCAAAGTGTCCCACCTTCACTTCCCCTTTCTTCCTCCACCACTTTCACAGTGCAGTTTTCAAGCCAGAATCATCCACCACACAGAGCCTGTATTCTGGACATGTCACGCAATGCTGAATATAAGTAGGCACAAGTCCTGTTTCCTTCCCTGAGTCCCTCTACAGCTAAGCCACAGTGGGGGCAAAGACACTGCCAAAGTGAGTGGGAGGGGACATACCAGTATTTTCTTCCGTCATCCCCGCATTACTACAGCCAAATCTGTAGCTGTCTCCCACTAGAGCAGTGGTTCTCAAACGGTTTAGACTTGAGGCATCCCTCATTAGATCCTATGTAACTTTTGTGAATTGAGCAGTACCATAGTTCGAAAACTATTTTTTTTTTTTTTTTTTTTTTTTAACTTTCCTTCCCCCTACAAACCCTGGAATATTAATTCATCAGACCCTACAAGAGGTCTATTTAAAGGTGATATCATTAACTTTGATCTTAAAAAATACTTTTTTATTTAAAATAATTATAATTAAAAAAAAACTAGAGCTGTGGGGATGTTTTTTCCTACCTTTGCCAATTACAATAAAGTACAAGAAATGTAATTCTACTAACTATTCCCAATTTCCCTATCATGAATACAGATCTTGCCTCCTTGCCAAGGGGTTTGGCAGTGGAAGCAGGGGAATGGCCAGGCAGGAACAAGGCTCAGTCTGCATTTATCATCTCACACCTCCTCATCTCCCCACACCTTGCGGCACCCTTCAGAAGATATCATAGCATCCCAGGGTGCCCTAGGACCCTGGTTGAGAATCAATGCTCTAGAGAATATCAGAGAGCAAAACCAGTCACCTGATGGAGGAAGTCAGGTTTCACATTATAAGTCTGTAAAAATGCATGATCCTAAAACAAAATTCTAGCTCAAACTTCCCTTGAACTTAGAAGGCAATTCCATTCTCCTCAGACCCATTGCTATTACTAGAGAGGGAGCTGCAGGCCAGGATGTAGGGGAGCTGTAAGTTTTCCAGTGCTTGTGTAAAGCAGAACACTAGAATTGCCTCTATTCCACTCCTCAGCTGGTCATCACTTCAGGGCTCCCTGAATTCACACCTACACCATACTGTGAAATAAATAAAGGGTGCATCTGCAAAAGGTGCTGCAGATTGGGAGGGGAAAGATTTATGAGGAGCATTTTGTGCAATGAAGCTGGTGTCTCGACAAGAGACTGCCAACCTTTTGTCCTTCCAGCTCAGCTTTTTCCAAGCACACGTCTAGTCTGATGGTGTCATCACTAATAAGGTGTCACCCGTGCTGAATTATTCCATCACTGCTGAAAATCAGAAAAACGAAAAGGGAAGAAGCCAGCACCAGGGAGAGCTCTAACTGCAGGGTAAAGCATGACAGCTTAAAAGCCTTCTGGCGAGCTTTGCTCAATATCTCACTGCAATTATTCACCAAACCTTTTAATAAAGTACTGCCCCTCTCCACCTTCCAGCAGTTTCCCAGTCCCCATTTGTCCTCTCTTGTCAGGTAATCTGCACATGACGCTGGCCTGAACAGTGATGCAGCAGAACGTGACTGTCTGGGGGAGGTGGCATCAATCTTGTTGGAATGAAAGACTCTTTTTTCCCTAACGCTAATTAAGCTCTCATCTTCATCTGAGTCATTGGCATTGCCTCTCCAGATTGCCCAATGCAGGAGCCAATTCAAGTCTCTTAAAGAAAAGTAACCTCCAAAGACTGGAAAAGTGGGGAAAAAATGGCCAAGGAAAGGGAGAACACCCTCCTGCGAGATGAGAAGTTGCCAGCTCCAGCCTTTCATCTGGGACGCTGGTTAGTCGGTTTCTGCACCCCACACTCCTTTATCGCTTCCCAAATGTTTTTAGTGGGAGAGACTCCAATGCACTGACTGCTTTTGAGAGAGATTGAAATGAGGCTTTAAAGAGGCTCCTGCAATCGGACCAGAACAGACTGATGCTGAGCACTTGAAAACAAGAGTCAGATGAGACTGCACAGCTCACCCAGGCAGCAGCCTCTGGGGCCTGAGTCCTCACTGCTCCAAGCTTTGCAGTACTTTGCTTCAGTAATGTGCCATCGAATAAGAACAAGTTTCTTCTCCCAGCCAGAGGCCCAGCCTTCTTCTACCACAATGGCTCAGCTCTTTAGAAAGTAGCATAACCCACTCCCTACTTTCACCAAAGGCAACACTGCTGCTCTGGAACGAGCCTGCTGAGGCTCCCTGGTGCTCTGTGTGCACCTCTCTTGTTGTCTCTGCCTCAGTTTCCTCACCTGCAGACTCTAATTACTGAGAGTGACACACAAGCAAGAGGGGGATCATGACAGACGGTGAAAGCAGCTTGGGGGCGGCGGCGCACCTGCACCAGGAAAATGCTCTCAATTACCAGCAATTTCAGCCCTGACGCAGTGGTAATGTTTTCTTTGATGAACCTGCCGGGCTGGGGGTGTTGCCACCCCCTCCTTAAGTAAACAGTCACACATGGCAATTATCACATTAATCCTCCAGAGGGGAATGAGAGAGGGATGGGTGGATGGATGGAGAGGAGGTGGATGGGGGGTGATTAGAACCCACATCTCCACACAGTCCAGGTGGTGAGAGGACTGGCAGCTTACTGCAAGGCTGCAGAGGAGTCTCTCCTGCCTTTTCCAAGCCAGTAGGGAAGCAGCAGAATCACAGACAGGTGGCAGAAGAAACCCAGTTCTTCAATCACCTGAAGAGCGGAAGTCACATTCCTAGCTTCCCAAAGGCCTCTGCCCCAGCCAGTCCAAAACTGGATGAGTCATGATTCACACACACTATATTTCCTACTCCAAGGCTAGTCCTCAGGTACTTCTGAAAGGTTCTGCGCTTTGTGAACTCCCTTGTTTCATGGGTCCCCCCATGTCACAACATGCTCCTGTGTCCTCCACCACCTGTAGACCACCTCAAAAGATGTATCTGGGGAGCCAGCCATCCTCCTGAGAAGCACATTGCTTCCTCCTACACAGCGAAGCTCTTGACAGACTCCCAAACTGTAATGCAAGTGCCTCAACCTCCAGCTGCCCACACCCCAGTGTCAGACCTCCCTCTCAAATGTTCTTTGAGGAAACGGGCCTGAGGTTCTCACATGAATAGCAGCAGTATGGAGCCCTACAAAGCACTCAGCAGTTTTCTATGGAGACCCCCATCTAAGAGGCAGTATCTGGGATGAGTCAGACAGCAGCTCCATTCTGCACCTTGACTGGTAGGAGGTAATTGCAGGTAAGTGCAGACTCTGAGATCTGCTGAACAAGAGAATAGTTGGGTGTTCACCTCTCTGAGTGCTTTGATGCCCAGATGGAACACAGGTCAGCAACAATCCACAGGAAAAAGACATGTGAGGGGCAAAGCTTG